TGAGCCCTCCCGCTGCCTGCTTATGGCCGAGCCCCTGCCCGGGGCAGCTGGGGGCAGAACTGTGCAGCCCGACCATCTGAGCGGAGGGCTTTTTTCAGCCCCGTTCTGGACGGGGTCAGAGGGCTTCGTGCGCCATCAGTCCTCATCCCTGGTGCCAGATCACTGTTTCTTTTTATTACTAATGAGTATCTTCCCAATGTGTCTTCCTCCTCCCCCTTAAATTTCACAGATGAGCCCCCCTCTCTGCTCAATTCAGCTTTGCCTTTCCAGGGTGGGTGTGTGGTCCTGACTTCTGCCCACCAATGTGTAAAAGATAACGATCCTCCTCTGGGAGATTAAATAGAAAATATCTGTCCGGATGTATTCTGTTTCCTGTGAAAGGGGAGAGGTGGTTACGTGTGTCCCAGGTGCCCTGAGGAGGAATTCACCGGTAGTTGGGAAGTGTTTGGGTAGAAAGTACTGGGGTTGTCTTGTTTGGTTTTGTTTTGGGTTTTTTTTTTTTTGAACGGGTTACTTTGTTACCTGTGAGGAAAAGTGTTTTTCCTTTCTATCTCCTGGCTCATGATGTTTTCTATCTATTTGTCGACTTCCTTGTTTTTCTTTTTTCCCAGAAGCAGGTTTTTTGTTTTCATTTGCAAATGTGATACAGAACACAGCTATAAAATGAAGCCCTGCCAAAGCCTTTATCCTATAGAGACCTGTCTTATTTAAATGAATGTGGTGTGGGAGAAGGGGAGGCAAGGTTAGTGGCCGTTGACTTGTGTGGCTAATGTTACATGAATCTTTATTTTGCTCTTCTGAAAAGATGGAAGACTGTTTGGCAAAAAAAGTGGAAATCACTGTTTCAGAAGCTGAAAAACGGACTGGGAGGAATGCCATGAACATGCAAGAAACATATACTGCTTACCTCATTGAGACAAGGTGGGTGATGAGAGCTCAATCTCGAGTACGTGGATGTGCCATTCTAAACATATTCTCCTTCCATCCACCCCTGAAAATATTCAGGTACAGTCGATGAAAGGATCTAGCTGGTTTATGACTTGTTACACAATTATCAACCTACTCTAGGGGATATTTTCCCTTGAAAACTTGGCATCAGGTCTCCAGCAGTACTAATGCTGATGTTGTGTAACTGTGTAGGTGGAAAAATGCATGCTCAAAGTATGTTGTTTCAATATGGTGTCAACAACTGTTTCTTAGACATGGGTTGGATAAACTTGTGTACGTACATATGAGATTGTGTGTGAGAAAGATTATACATTGAGGTCTAAAGTGATGGTTAGGCTTGTTTGAGATCACAAGAAAATAAAGAAATCTCATGACTTATGTCATGTGGTCAAAATTTACTGCCCCGCTAATACTTGAAGTGTTTTGCTTGATCTGATCGCCACATACTCCTCTATGGGTTGAGGTTAATTAACTATTTCCTTCCTTCATACTAGCTTGGATTTTCACTGGAGAACTTACTGATGCTATTTGTCGTCTTGTGTTAACAAGATTAATAATACAGCTATGGTAAACATGCTTGGTACTACAAAGACAACTTGCAACTTTAAGTATTGAGTAGTGAAAAGAAGCTTTAAAATATCTTTTAAGTTATTGTTACTTTCCAAACAGTTACAAATGACTCCTGTTACACAGGATCATGTTACTCAGCTGCAAGAATTTCAAAATTAAACTTTATTAGGAGTTTTATCTCCCTCTTTTTTTATGTTAACAGTTTTAACCTTTGGGCCTTGCCTCAGGAATGATCTGCTGTACAGATAAAACTTTCTGAAACAAAGCAGTTGCATTTTGCAAAGGCTCTGAAGAGTTCAAACTGTAATACTATCACATAAGTCTTCTAGTTACTGGTTAAAAGGCTTCTTTGCTTGTTTAATTCATGAAGGAACACACCAGTCACACTGACTGCAGCCCTAATGGGATACGTTTACTATATTTTTGGTAAACTTTAAGGATAAAATCCAAAATAGACGGACATTATATTTTTCAGATATTGTGGCTCTTTGTCAGTTGCTCAGATGTTTAAAAAAATACTTCTACAGTGTATCGATATTAAAGATAACATCTTCTCACATAAGTAATGTTATTTTTCCTTTAATGTTATTTCTGAAGGAAGAGAGAAGAAAATTGGTATCCTTGGTGTCTGACTGTGATGTGAAGTGTGCTCTGGGGGCGTCTTTATGCAGCCCCAGAATATGCTGACTGCATCGCCTTTCCCAGTCATTCTTACGTTACTTTAGACTCACTCCTGCTGGTCTTTCCCAGTGGCTCTTTTGTAGTGGCAAAACTGTATTTTGCTGCCCTGATTTCTTTATTTCATTAAGTTTTATTTTATTCTGTGCTCAGCAGATACCAAGACCAATTACATGTTTGCCACAGAATTACTGAAAATGTGGGTTTGTCACATCCCTAATAAAATAGGTTCTCTCTTCCTTTTGCTGAGAAGGCAAAATTTCTTGCATAAATATAATCAGTG